AACAGTTTCTTGGGCATCAGCCACACTAATATATGCCTAATGACTTTGATTAATTGGTGTTTACTTACTTCTAATTCTGCCTCTGATTCAGAGCATAAATTTATGCACCCTGCATAGATTCTTTTTCCTTTCTCTTAACCGATTAACTGATTTTTATTTTTCTATCTTGCTGTCAGCCTATCAGATAGAGCTGTATGTACAAATCCCATATTTGCCAGTTGAATCATACCCAATGACATTTTAGCCAGCTTTATGCAGGCCTGTAGCTACGGTGGGGCATTTGGGGGCGCCCCCCCCCAACTTACAGCAAAGGCCCCTTCAAATGCTTCCCGACTCTGTCCCCAATAAAGAGGTGGTCCCGGCCACGCTTTCCACCCCCATTTCCCGCCACTCGTGCTCCCAGCCTGCCCCAAGTTGTGCTTGTTGCTCCACTCTCTGTGGCGGTGCCTGCCCAGTTGCACGGAGGCACCTCTTAGGTGGGCAGCAGCTGTGGGGCTCCTTCTGCTGGGGAGCAGCTCGGGTGGGGCGGCTGCCTCCTCTGAGCGGAGTGTGTGGCCGGGACTCCATCATATTACTCCGGGTAAAGAAAAAGCTCTTTTAAACATTCCACTTCTAAGAAAGGGGGGGGGGGAAGCTGAGAGAAACAACCACAGCCACCCTTTGAAAGAGGTGCAACCAGCTATTTTAAAACCTTTCTGCTGTTTTAAATCTTTCTCATCAGTCCTAAAACTTTGTTGGTCTTAAAGGTGTTCCCGGTCTGGACTCAAACCTTTGTCTCACCCCCCCCCCCGCCCCACACACACTGTGCATTTTGGTACATTGCTCCACTCCTACGGGAGCTGGGAAGGTCACAGTCGCTTCTCCAGTCTCCTAGGTGAGCGTCTGAAACTCCTCCTCCTTCAGCTGCCTTGTACTTTCTCAGTGTAGCCAGCACGGAGCTGGCCGGGGCAAAAGCGAAAGCACTTGGAGGAGACAGGAGGGAAGCCTTGAGTGACTCTGTCCCCAATAAAGAGGTGGTCTCGGCCCCGCTTTCCGCCCCCATTTCCCACCACTTGCACTCCCAGCCTGCCCCAAGTTGTGCTTGTTGCTTCATGAAGGGGCACGAGGATGTCTGGTGCCAGCCTCATGCCAGGGGGAGGTCATGGCAAGGAATGATCCTGGGAGATCTTTAGCACCAGTTGCCTAATCCCTCCGTAGCAAAAAACAAAAACAAACACACACACACACCCCAGGAAATAAGCACACTTGAAACTTTTCAGCCTCCAATTGGGGGTTGGGAGGCAGAGGGAGTTAATTAAATCACTGATGTCACTTCCAGTACACTGCACCGAAACCCAACCACTTCCTGTGATGTCACTTTCAAGGCTCTCCCCCAAACCCGTCTCTTCCTCTGAAGTAACTTTCTTTCAAAAATTAAAAACAGAAATCAGCAGAGCCCACAGGAGCATCATACATAATGAAGCTCTTCTTTGCAGGGGTGGTAGGTGGGAAAGGGAGAGCCTGTGATGAAGGAGGGGCAGCTGCAGCACCTAGGCTAAGGCTCCTCCACTGAGGCAGTGATGGTTGGTGTGTACTGCTCCTGCTGAGAGAGGAGGGTCAGGGTGGACACAATCCCCTCCCTCTTGCTTTCTGAGGCCTTCCCTGGGGAAGTGGTGTATAAAGGTTCTCTGGGTTTGCCCTTGGCTTTGGAACAAAGCAAAACATTACTGGGCTTTTGTGTATTGGGCTGGCCTTGGTTCAGGTGAGCTAGCAAAAGTACCTGCCCACCCTGCACTTCTGAGTGTTCTGCTGGGCTTCTACAGCCCTCAAAAAAACCTGTGCTGGGATTCTCTGGTGTGACATTGGTTAGTTCTGTATGGTTTGCAGTGCTGCCACACTGGCACTGGGTTGTGCTACTAGGCACTATTGCACTGGTTCTGCTGTCCTTGCAACCCCCCTCCACCCCACTCAGATTGTGATTCTGTGCTTGACATCAGTCCCGTTGAGCTGGCATTTGCCACAATGGCACTGGGTTCTGCTGCTGGGCAGTAGTAGATTGGCACTGAGTTCTGCTGCTCGGCACTAGTAGATTGCACTGGTTCTGCTGTCCTTGCAGAAATGCTCCCCCTCCGTTTCTACTTCAAAGATTCTCAGATTTGAGCTTAGTCCTGTTGGGTTTTGGCACTGCTCCAGTGGCACTGGTTCTGCTGCAAACCTTTCAAAAATGCCCCCCCCCACTTCACTTTCTACTCTGGAGATTCTCTGGGACATTCTGCTGGGCTTGTATTGCCTTGCTCCCACCCCCATTGGAGACAATGGAGGATGGGGGCCCTTTCTTTGGGTGCCCATAGAATTGTCTCTCCCAGTCCAACCTTTTTGAAACTTGGGGGTTCTTTTGAGGAGAGGCTCCAGCAGCTATGCTGCATATTTTGTGCTTCTACCTCACCCCC